GATTTTTCTGCATCCATTGCAGCAGTATTACTAATCCTGAATCAACCTAAATGTACAGAACTGAGTAAGTATCAGCGCTGTCCAATAAGATTTGATAAATGCACGATTCCATTAATTTTACCTTTTTTTTTGTTGAATAAATTATTTGACAAATAATGGTAAAATTCATCAAATAAATTATCTGATGAATGTATTTTTTAAGTAATCGACTGGCTCTAATGAATATGCAGGCAGTTCCTTAATGAAAAGCATTACTCTACTGTTAGCCTGCTTTCATCACTCATATGCCACTTTTTTTTTTTTTTTTTGTATTTTGCAACTGCAATCTGTATATTTTATTCATTTACCCATTCATTTGTACAAGAAAGGTTCAAAACAGTATGGTTAATCAATCACTGCCGTTTTTAGAATATTTCTGCCCTACAGTTGATTTTTCATTACACTTATTAAAAAGGGCCTGGATTTTCTGAGGACACCGCTCCCAAGAATTACTCTTGGCTCGTACGCTCCAAGTCAAGAGCACAAGAACGCTCTGAAAATTGCAGGTTTCATTTGTAAGCCGTTTTTTATAGCTGCAAACACTACAATTACCAATTGTTTCAAGAAACTGGAACTTGAAGCCGAGCCAGGCACCTTCAAAGTCCCTGAAAACACTCATTAGGGGAGTAAAACAAGGAACAGCGCACAGGAACCACCTTCTCACTGCACAGCACTGGGGTGTTTGGATAAGAGCCACGAGGAGGATTATTTGGATGATGTTCAGTTCTGGAAATGTTCCAGCCTCAAGGAGCCAGCCTGTGTTTTGTCATTCCAGAGGTGATCTCAACGAACGGTACTGATGGATTTACGCTGTCAGACAGCAAATTTGCACCCATTAACGCTACAACACGTCACGCTTCTGAGCGCTGGCTCCCCACAGAGATGTGCCAATCTACTGGGACAGCGGCAGTGGGTGCCACAGACCAGCCTGCAGGGCTGTAAAGGTGCAAACCGCATTTTTATGGGTGACTTGGAACTTGCTGCACAAGTCTCAGGTGAACAGATTGGATGGGAGGAAGTTGTGGCAGACAGGTGTACTAGAAGGGTTGGCTATGGCTGCACTTGGAGTAGCAGAGGTTCTCCTCCAGATTTTCATAACTACACCGTTAATGGTCTTTGGCCAAGCCTTCCAAAGGCCATCATTTCTACTGCCAGTTGGAAAACTAACATATAACTGCCCCTCAAATAGGGACAAGGGGAAGGACTTAAGCTGCGCCCACAGAGTTTAAAAGATGAAGTTTCCAAAAACACCAGCGGTGCAGAATAAAGCCCTTACACAGGTCTGCTCCCACTCAACAAGCTCTGATGCCAGAGGTGAGGAAAGCCATGTTGAAGTCCCCCACAATGGGAAGGGGTATATTATTGACTGATATTACATGCTCATCAAAACTGCAGCCACGTTACCCTGGCAGCAAATAGTTATTTCCAGTCTACACATTTCTTATTACAGGGAGATTATTATTGTAACACTGCATTACAATAGAAAATAAAGTCTTCTAGGGCTTCTTTTTATTCTCTCTCTTTTTTTTTTTTTTCTTTTCTTTTTTCTGTACCTTTTATCTCTGGAGTTTATATTTGTCTTTGCCTCAATCAGGCATGGGTTGTGGTATGTGTGAGTGTTTGTCCCTTAAAGCTCGAGATAAACTTACTTTTCTATTAAAAAGTTTAAATACTTGTTATAAATAATTTCTCCATACTTGTATGCTTTGATCTAATCTACTGCATAGTTTTAGGTAAAGTGGTTGTGGTTCTAAAGATTACAAATATTAGGAGGAAGAAATAAGTTGTAGAAATTATCTTCAGCTTGCAGCTTGCTTTATAAAGGTTTAAAATGCCCTTTCTTTGCTAACTCCATCTAAAGAGCTTTTGACCCACTCCTTTTCATGTACAGTCACCAATCTAATAACAATAATAATAATTTTTAGATGGGATCAATAAGGCCATTGCTTTGCACTTAAGACTTCTAATAGAACCTCAATATTAATAAGCAAACACCTTCAGAAGTAGCGTTTCTGCTTAGGCAATCAGAGGAGAACTTAATTTGTACTCCTGATAAACACTTAAGCTCCCTGTGCCTCATTATTACTGCAGATTTACAGTGCAAGAGCGTGTTTGAAGCAATGTGCCCTGAGACAGATAACCCACTGCTACAGGACCAGTTCTGTTCTTCATCATTTACATGCTGTCTCAGAGGCACATTACAGGATAATCCAAACCACAAATCTCCTGGGTCCCTCCTCGTAGAAATGGAGAACACCATTTGGGTACAAGGGCATTTGTCCTGACAGTGAGTTTAATATTTTTGTGCAAGAATCAGATTTGTGGTGAGTAGCCCTCCGGAGGTTTGGTATCCACACTCTCCAGGCTGTCTTGGAAAACCTCGTAAATTCAATGCTATTAGCAAATGAAGCTCAGGATTAAAGGTAAGCCTGAAGCTGCCAGACTTTTCAGCTTTCAATATGAGGGGTTGCAGTGCCCTATCTGGTTATCCCAGAACAAAAATGACATTTTCATTTCAGAGTCCTTAATTAGTATTTGTTTTTCCTCTTTTTCTTTAATTAGCTGTGGGCAGAATGAAAACACAGGGAAAAGACCAGCTCCTGGAATTAAAAGGACTTCCTGAGTGGCAACGACTTCGGAAAGAGTTTAATCTTTGTCGTGGTGGTGCCCATGCAGTTTGCTCAACAGGACTGGACAATGGGAACAGAATTAACCACAGCAATGTGCCTTCCACAGAGAAGAGATCTCACACCAACTTCATCTTCCAGCATCACTGCCTCTTTTCATGGGGTTTTCCATATTTTACTTAGATGACTGCTTGGATAGAGCGTGGGCAAATGACCCAATTCCCTGCAGTCTTTGAAAACATCCCTCTTGCACTTCAGGCTTCAGTTTGCTATCACTCCATCAAAACAAGCTGTCCAAAACCCTCAAAAAAACCCCCCAGAGCAGCTGAAGCAGCTTGCTGAAAGCAGGTTGCCTTTCCCCCTGGGGCTGGTGGTGCATGATTATGAAGAGACAATAATAAAGGTACGCCTATACTGTGAAAACAATTTTGCACAAAATACTTGTGTAATGTACAAAAAGTAGCTGAACAACCACAGGGTTTGTTGCTGTCCAGCTACAGCTCTTTTGTGTGGCTTTACTTAGGCAAAGGAGTGAGGGGAATAGGAAGGAACTCTCTGGCTGCTCTCCTCATCCATAGGAGGGCTGCACTGGCACACAGGCCCGTATCAGCTTCTACCAGCTCCCCTCTTTTTTTTTTTTTTAATTTGCAGGGATTGCTGGAAGATCTGGAGTGCTCAGAGAACAGCCACAGGCCCCAGAGCCCAGCTTGCAGGATTTGCTTCTGCAGCCAGCCAGACTTACAGCAAAGCCACTGCAGAGCTGCTCTGCCTCTGTGCCACGTCCCTGAGATCCCCACTGGGCACAGCTCAGCTGGAGCTGCGAACAAGGTTACAGATGCACACACGCTTGGGGCATTTTGTATGTTCTGATAATGCAGTTTTCTTGTGCTAAATGTACAGGGATACTTCACAGTGCACAAATCTTCACTTGAAGGTAGATCAGGAACAAGAATGAGGGAAGCGACAGAAAAATCCCCGCCCTGCTGCCTCCGTGGAATGAAGAGATAAGGTCCACAGAGGACACAGGAAACTGTAAACTTAAACCTCAGAATGCTAAGAATTTCCTAATAAAGGATGATGGCTCCCCATGACTGTCCTTTACCAGGGTAACCTGCTGGCCATCAGGGCTACCCGAACCCAGAAGCACTGAGCCAAGGGAGGTCACAGTGCTCCACCTCTCTCCAAATCTGCTGTGCTCACCAGGAGGGTGAGATGGGGAGCCATCACCTCGCTTTTGCACCTGGTAGGCTGTTCCCATCTGTCCCCAACCTGCAGTAGAAATCTGGAGGGAAACTTGGCCAGAATTATACCTGATACTTTATCAAGCTTGGAAATGTCTAATGCCTCGAAAGAAAACTGTTTTACCACAAAGCTGTATGTGTTAGGCATTGCCACTTCTGGTTTTTTTTTTTTTTTTTTCTTTTTACAAATTCTCCCATTCTCACCAAATTGCTTAAAAAGCAACAAAGGGTTATAACTGACTTGACCACAGATGTCACGAAGCCTCACCATTGTACCTTCTCCCTCTGTCAGCTCCAGCTATTGCCACATCGCTGTCAACAAAGCCATACACAATAATGCCCCATTACAGCTGGAATGGTTCCTTAAACTTTGTAGCACTTAGAAATGCTCCCAAGGCCCCCAAAACGTCTCGATTCAGAATTGAACACATAATACCTGCCAAATTCGCAGGTTTGAAAGCACTTCCAATAAGAATTAAAAAGGGCCTCTTCACAGCTGAAATGGGGCTATCAATACTTGACTTGTCTGCCCACGTGAAATAGTGGGTTCTTTTCTCTGACGTCGCAATTTAGTTTAAAATAGCTTTGATGATGACAGGGTACATGCCAACGATAACACCACAAAGATGACAGTCTAATCTTACAAAGATGACCCATCACTGATAAGAGATTAAGCCACAAAACGTTTGAAAAACCAGATTATCTGTCTGCTAGGATGGTGTCTGTGCACACCTCCTGCTGAGCCACGCTGAGATGCCAGTGACATACAAAGATGCTTCCCTGTAAAAGCCAGAAATGCTTCACAGAATTTCTCAAGCCATTGGGATAAAAGAAAGAAAGAGAGTAATGAAAAAAAAAAACCCTCTGATAATTATATTGAGCTTTTCTTGTCAAACATTCATTTTTCAGACTAGTAAAGTATTTAGATGTACAGCATATAAATAATTTAGAGGCACTATAAAAAGGACTAAATTAGTCAATTCTGCCCTATAATTAGCACTCACAGCTATGCTGGCAATGGGGTGGGTGATTATTAAACACCTTTTATTATCGGTTTTTATGCACTACGATAAAAAATTAAAATTATACTTACAAGAATTATTAGACACGCCGGTCCTATAAAACTCCATATAAAGTTATTCTTAGTGCTGAGCCAACATCTGAAAATTAAACAGCAGAAAATGCCTTGAAACGTGCTATTTTGGTTACTGTCTCCTTGCTGTACGGTGACCTGGGCACGGAAAACGGGGCCTTACACTTCTGTGGTGCCGTAGTACTTGTATCCCAGGGCAGCAGAAATTCCAACCACCACGGCTGGGCTGACGTAGCCAAAGACGTAGAAGTTCTTGTGCAAGAAGCCCTTGTTGTAGATGACCCCCACAACGATCAGGTAGAGGTGAATGCCTTCGATGCACATCCAGGCAAAAGCAGCCAGGAGGAAATAATGGAGTAATCCAGCAGTAATTGAACAGAAGAGCTGGAAATTCAATCAGGGGAACGAGAGTCATGATTCTGTCAATATGCCTTTGTCAATATAATATATATATATATATATTTTAATATTATAATATATTGTTATAGTAGATGCACAGCAACCGAGTGACTCTGGAGTGGTGACTCAGCAGCCCCTTTGTGATGGTTGACAAATCTTGGCCTGCACCCATGACCACACTTGTTCAGGAGGGTTTTCTGCAGCAACTTGCAAAATAAAGAGATTACATTCAGCTTTTAAAATTGGTACATATCTCCCCAGAAAAGTTTGAAGAGGTTTATCCTGTATGTATAGCTGAGTAGTCTATGTGCTTTCCTGACCTAAACAAAGCCCACTTTTAAGATTTTGATAACAATGTAATTGTTGCCACCTTGTAATTGCATCACAAGGAGTTACTTCTGAAATAATTTCTGTCATAAAAAGCCTTTGTAAGAATGATATTCTTCAATCAATCAGTACTGGAATGCTACCTCAGGGATAGCAGTTCGTATTTTCTCAAGTAATTTTAAATCCTATTCAACCCCACTTACAGTGGGGTGCTTTGATAATTTATGCATAATTTTACTCCCTAAAACTCATCTAAGATGTCAAAATCAGCAGCTTGGCTTTCTGAAAAGCAAGAGGGGCAGGTCAAGACCTTGCAGACAGGAAGGAGAGCAATCCCCCAGCCAACAGCTCAATATCTTTTAGCTCTCAGCTTGGGATCGCAGCCCTGGCCTGGCTTTTAGGGAAAGCTGTCACCCTGAGAGCCACCAGCGTGGCTTTGTACAGCATCCTAAGGGGGTTTGGAAAGTGAAAATGCCAAACACACGAGGTCGCAGCTTCAGTAAAGGTGACAAAGTTTAAAAGAAACCCAGGGAGCGAAGTCGATACGCAGCAGCTCAGACGAAGGCCCTGCTTCTTTAAACGACCATTTTTTATTTCCTGTTACTGTGCTGGGAAGTCAGGGCCACTATTGCAGGTGGGGAAACATGGGGAGTAGACAGAAGGTCATATCTTATGCTGTATATTTGCTTTGCAAGGCAAAATGAAGACACAAGTGAAAACTACCCACCTTGTTATTGTTCATATTAATTCCGATCAGAAAAATAAGTTCCGCCAGGAAAAGGCTGCAGCAGAGGTTTTTGTGGATTGTCGTTCTAGTGCTTTGAATTTCACTGAAGAACCAGAACGTAAAAATGCACATGGAGAGGCAAATCAACGAAATAATTATTCCTAGCTGAGTGATTCTTGTAAGAATGTTATAATTTGTAACACCCTGGGGGAAAATTATAATATAGCATTTAAAAGAACAGCTTTATACCTTCTCAAGAAAGAACTCATTCTATAATACAGCTCTTTTCTTCTTTTCTACAAAATATTAATCAAAATTGTTTGTAGAGTTTCACTGGAAATGTACACTTTGGATAATCCAAAAAGTACTGGGGGTTGGTGAGACAGATATAATTCTAGGGGGAAATTAGTAATAAACTGTATATATTCTGCTCTTGCATTTTCTGATATTTCTTAACAAAACTTTTTATTAACATCAGTATCTCCTAATAAGATTTTCCAAATCAGATCATTTTAGTGAATGACAAATACACTGGCAGTGGGACATGTATTAATATGACACGAACATTTTCTAATATAAAAGGACTTATCGCAGCAGTGACTTAGATAAGCAGGACTGAATAACTGTCTTACTGAATTTGCAACATGATCAAAACAAGGCTCTGAAATAACAATCACTTCAAGCAAATGCTATTGCAGATACATTATGTGAACCTTCTCCAAAGAAACACGGGATATTTTAATAGCGGATGTGACTGTTTTCTGTGTAAGAATACAGTTCCTTTTGCTGCTTGCTATTTTCACAAAGGACCTCTGAAATACATGGCTATACTTCAGCAAAAGGATAGTATTCAGCTGGCCATAAAATGTCTCTAAGTATTTTTTTTTTCCTAAATAAAAGATCAGAGATTATTCACCTCCCCAGCCTTTCTTTTCAAAATAACTATATGAGTACCTGCAAAGGTTTTTAAATTTGAACTGGAGACTTAGGATGCTATTTAGCAACCAGGAAACAGCCTCTATCAGCATGAAATTCACAGTGTGAGAGAACTGTCTCAATAGAGTATATTCATGCTAATATTCTGCTTGCTGTCAGTTCTGTTAAAAGGCTGCCTCCTGAGGCAGGACCTGAGCTCCTGCAGATCCCCACTGAGACCCTGGCAATCTGTGGGGCTTCTTAATATAAGAGGGACATAAATTGAGTGGTCATTCTCCCAAGTTTTGTGCCGGTTGCGAGTGTCCTTGTTTAACAGTCATAAACTTCGAACTGATTGTGCTGCTGCAACCCCCCGGGAGAGACTTTAAAGCAGATTTTTAGATGCCAAGGTTAGACAAATGGGTGGCAAAGTTTTGTGAGAGAGAAATTCGAGGCCATATGGTTGCTGACCACCAGTGAATGGCAGATAAATCCCACGGCAGTCTTAAAGCGGGATTTAAAATGAAAAGCAATGCTCCAAAAATAAGCACAACAGACTGTGTGTTTGGAACAAGACACTTTGCTGCATCACTGCTCTGTAATACTGCAGAAAGGACATAAGGAAATTCAAACACATATGGGAGGAATTTTGTTTGCTCTCTGCACAATAAATTGTGTGTTTGCTGAATAAAACCAAGAGACAACCTGAAGGGGGGGAAGTACGTAGGTTGCTCTAAAATAAAAGCATAGGGAAGGAAAACAGGAGAAAGCATCAGGTAAAAACACTAAATTAAAATAGCACTTACAACAGAGCCACCTGAGGACATCAAAACAGCAAAATGAGTCAGATGATTGCATTTGCATGAGATATGAGTGGAGTTGGAATGTGTCAGCTCACAGCCTTCTGTAGCCCAGTTGCCATTCATTGTGTCTGCCGAGTAGTTCCAAAATGCACATTTAATGTCTTTATCTGCAGTCTGGAACAGAAACAAGATGTTTTACTGATGGCAAAAGGCAGGATATTTCCCATCAAGAGACCTTTCTTACCCCAGCCAGCGCAATTCATTAAAAAATTGCTCGTTGCCATCGGAAGGCTGGGAGACAAAAGGCACCTTCTGCAAGGCCCGTTCCAAGCAATTAAAACATGGCCTGGGATGGAAGCATTTCTATCCACACAGCTAAAAAAAACCCCACCAAACATGTAGTCTAATCAGATTACTGAACCCTTCTGGCACTCACAGAGATGTTGGAATTTTTACCCAGAGAAAAAAAAAAACCATTGTTAAATATCCACTTGCACCTGCTGAATGTGGACTGGACTGCAAGGTTACAGCCACATGGCTTGTCCTACTCACAGTCCATTCCATACAAGCAGCCCAAAAACTGGGACTCTGTTGGTTTTACAAAGTAATCTGGGATAAAGCCAGGGTCATACCACACCTGTTGCATCACCTGCCATATAACAGTGATGAGTAGGACCATTAGTATTATTTGGTACAGTTAGTGCTTACTAAATCCAGTCAAAGATAAGGTCCCCCACTGTACAATAGGCTTTATAAATATGTGCAAATTTATATACAGGTGACTTCTAACTCAGAAGGCAAGTAACAAATTTAAAAGCTATGTAAACAAGGTCAGAGCCTTGTTTCACTGCTCATCTCCCTACAGAGTTGCTTTCTTGCTAAATTTCTAATAATTCTTTGTGCCTGTAAGGTGATTCTTCACACACTGGTGAAGCCAGCAAAAATCTGTGTTTGCTGGAAGGAAACCTCTCAGTTCTAAATAAATGTGTTCAGAAATAACAAAGTTTCAGAACTGTAGGTTCTTCTATTACCCACTAACTGCAGGTTATCTTTTCGTGTTAACTTTGAAGCATTTGTTCCCCTTAAATGTCTGATAAACTTTCAGGAAAAAAATCCACCCAAATACAGAACATTCAAGATCCTGTGATATTCTCTGACTCAGTCATCTACAATTTATCCATGCTACAACCCAGCAAAGATGATATTGTTGCCCTTGTTTTTAGTCCCAGAGCAATTCTGCTCTGTATCATATTTAGAATATATATTGTGCTTAGGATGTCACGTCTGAGATTAATGTTGTTAGGGTAATAAATGGCAACCTCAAATCAGCAAACAACAGAATTAGGTCTCTGTTTATCACATGCTGCAGGTATGGTTACATCACATAAACCCATTAGCTAATGCTTTGTTTTATTTGAAGCTGATAAAAAACCCCAAACAAACCCAAACCCTTACCTTGGCATACTTTAGGGTAAATGTTATTTTCTCGAGCTCATAGAGTGTGGGTGGGTTCGAGCTGATTGCGACAGCTATAACTGATGAACCTACTGTCTGTCTCTGCTCTGAAGGATCCTTTGAGGAGTGGTTTTGAGGCAGTGAGAGCAAGGAACCAACGTTGCTGTACCGCAGAAAGACAACTGCAACCGTGCCTGTCAATCAAACACACCACGTTCAGGGGTTTGGGGTTTTTTTATAGGGGGACAAAATCGAAGACATTCAGGAAACGATAAACAATCGACACCATCGCTGCCACGGCATGAAATATGCAAAGCAGATGGAATCTTTGTGGAACATTAATAAAAATGTTTTAGGGGCAATGAAATATGGCTTTATTTAAAACAATGTAACCGGCAGTAGAAAGGAAACCGCGTGCTCGCACTGGAAATACTAATTAGCTATAGGCATATATATTTTTCCTAGAGTAATATGTGCTTGCTGCTGTTCTGCAATTGGTTACACATATGGTGGCAAGGTCTTATAAACTAAAATGTCTCAGGACCTTTCTGAAGTACCTGGCTTGCTTTGACTCTCATTACTACCCAGTATGGTAGACAAGTAAGGAAGAAGAAAAAAAGTATTTTAGGAGGCACTGCTGATCTTAAAAAATGGTATCAAAGTAAACCCCAATTTTAGATACCGATAGGTGGTGAGATTCAGATTAGATGGAAGATGAAGATTTTAAAAAAAATCTTTTCTATGTCTGTTCTTAGGTGATTTCATTCCAGGGCTGTTTAAACACGTTTACTTATTTTTAGTGCTGACAGTAGCGTAAACCCTTTCTGTAGCACTCTGAGGTCCAAGTCAGACCTGGATCCTGCTGGTTTTGGTGCTGAAGATTGTATATTCTTGCCCCAGTGAGCTACCCTCTAAATGAAAAAGGTGCACCAATTTTTGCAGAATTAGCAAAGAGAGTTGAAGGGGCCACTCCAAAGTCAGATCTATGGCTGAGTAAAGGGTAAAGCTCAGGTACCAATATCCAGTGTGAAAACTCACTGTGCCACTGGAAATGTTGGAAATATCAGTCTTGAGACAATAAAGGGGGAGGAGAAATGGTGATAAAAATACCTTGTCTCCTTTGCAGTCAGTCTCGGTAAACTGCACATTTGATTATTTGCTGGTACGAGTCTACCCAAGGAGTTATTAACCCACCCACTCTCTAACCTTTCTTACCATTAGGATGAGATTCCTTTCTCTTCTTTGGTGAGATCTTTATGTAATCTCCCTCTGTGTGTACATGAGGGTGAATGTGTTTCATGTGGTGTGAATCAAAAGCAAAAACCTTGAGTGCTGTAAAAGAAGAAAAATGCAGTACAAATCACAGCTCCATTATGGTCTACCATAATTTACAGTTGGGTTAATAAATGTGTTATTGGATTGCATAATTACTGTGGATTTGAAGAATATATCACTGTGCAAAATATTTCAAGAAAAATGCTATTAGTGTAACATGTTTGTTTAAACGTCTACATTTTTTTTATTTTCATGCATACATTTTGCTCTTGCACTTTTTACTCTTTCCATGAAAAATACAGTCTCTTATTTACCTTGCCTTAAATTAGGTGCTGGAAAAAAAACAATGTAGGTTACTTTGGGAAGAGCTATTGCTTTATTAAAAATGCATTTCTGAAAGCAGCCACAAATCACAATTATAAAAAGCAAAGCGTAAAATCCTCCACTGAATACTAACATTTGATAAAAGCCAATTTTTGAAAAGTCTATATTTTACGGTTATCTATCCACGCTACCAAATGCACATTGCGCCGTGAACTAATGATGTGTCTTGTCAGCAAGCAAACAAGCAAGCATCACCCCTCAGGACAAAAACTACATTAGAGGCCATTGAGCTCTTTACTTGCTTCATTACAGGGCTGAGTTTCAATCACCCGGGATGGGAAACAAAAAAAAAAAACAACCACAAAACAAAAAAAAGTCAATCAGGCCTTTTCCTTTTTTAAAACAAACCAAAACAACAACAAACAAATGCAAAACTTGACTGATGGAGGAATATCACTAAGCTAGGCCATCTGCATTGCTTATAGCACAGCCCACAAAAATAATATGAGCTATTCAATAGACCAGCTGTCAGAAAACGTTTGTCAGGGCATAAGAAATAGTTTTATTTGGCTGGAGTTTTGAAAAGCTCATAGTTCAAGAGCTTGCACCATAAAAAGCAGTGGAGAGAGAGAGAGAGACATAATGTTGTAGGTCTTGTCCCAAAATAGTTATGTGTGGCACATGAGACCTGTGGAAAATTTATTCATGCTGAAAAACAGTAACAAAAAATGTTCGTGTTTGGGTCCAATTTGGAAATGAGCTCACGCAGTTTACCCTTTCAGAACAAAAATAAGCCGAAAAAATCATTAACCTTTCAATATGGAAATTCCTCCCTGTTCTCTTTATCAGCTCTTTCTATCACCTTGGTGACTGACACCTACGATGCCACCAGAACCCGCACCTGAATCCTCTCCTCCTGATCTTCCCAGCCTCAGCTTCCAAGCAAGGGAGGTGGGGAAGGTGGGGAGAGGGGGCTGAGGAGCTGGGGGGGCCTTTCCAGGCAGAAAAAATCTGCCCCCTGTCCCCCCCGCTCCCCATTTTTTCATCACTCTGTGTAATTTATTTTCAGACAGGCGAGGGAAGAACAGGGGGTTTGACCTGCCTCGGGACCACAGGAGGAATCTTTCTCACAAACTCATTTTATAGAACAGCAAGCCAGCAAGAGGCACTGAAGGACTGTACTAAATCTAAAATAAGAAATGGGATCACATACGGTTTGGGGACGTTCGTAAAAATAAAGATGAAAGAGTGGCCACTGACAAAGGAATCAGCAATTCTTGATTAGGATTTTCAGAAATGGCTGGTGTTAGCCTTACTCTGCTCCCAGGGAAGGAATGGCAAAACCATTACTGCCACAGAAAAGCCAGCAGGTATTGGTGGGAAGACACCAGCTCACAGGCAGAAGGTAGGAAAGTAAAATGGTGTAGTTGAGACCAAGCAGTTCTCCTCCTGTGGAACTCCTCTTAAAATGAGAAATTTCTGTTGACATAAAGCTGCTCACTAGGTACAATCCTTAGTCAAAGTTCATTTATAATACCTTCACTGAACTAAAAAGAGTAAAAAAATCTGTTTAGAGCAAGTCCAAATTTCATTCCACTGGTGTTTTTTATGCATGTAAGATGCACAGGATAATTTTGTGCTTATAAAAAGGATCCAGGTTCACAGTGAGTGGGGCCATAATGAGAGGACGAAAGAGAATCTGAAAACAACTTCCCACAGACTCTCAATTTTTTTTCTGGGCTCTGGACTGAAATGTTCAGTCTTTGAAAATTACGATACCTACGCCGCAAGTCAGGTGTTAGTTATGAAAACCATACAAATTAACACCCATGTCTTTCACACAGCACCATCTCTAATCTTCATAACTGTGCTGAAAAGCTCCTCGGTGCAATCCACACCTGAAGTCCACCTCAGATTAATTTCCTTTGTCTTACCTACGTCACTTGCATTAGCATCTAGCTGTGTTGCCTTTTTGAAGTTCTGTGACACGAGAAGCGTCGCCTGCTCAGCGGTGTGCAGCAGCTTGGTCAGGCTCCGCCTCTGCTCATCGGCGGGAAGAGCTTCCCAGACCGTCAGTTTGTCTTTTTGTAAGAAATTATTCACGGTGTTGACCAAAACCTGCAAAGAAAAGCACGTGCTGGAGAAGAGCCAGGCACTGCTCGTGGAACAGGGACAAAAAGCCCACGGATCCGTGGCACTCACGTTAATGGTGGTGTTGGGAAGGGCTTGGCTGCCGGAGTCAGGCGCAGCATCCCACGAGGGGTACGACAGTGCTTCCACGTAGGAAACCACATCCACGGGTGAAAGCGCTCCCAAAGTGTTTTTATTAATTTCCTGCAGCATCTCCAGAGGTGTCTTTAAATGACTGAGCTGAAAAATGCCAGGACTCACATATTAGTGAAGCAAGGGGAGTCGTGTTTCTGCGGCTGAAAATAAACTTGTGAATCATCATACTGGATTTTAAGGCACTTGTGCCTAACCCCCGCCCCCTATTTCAATCAGCAGGTTGACCTACAAAGCACTGGTGTTACACATGTCTAGTATAACCCTAACAGGTCATCTGCTGTCATTACACTTTCTTTTCTTCCCTACAGCAGCTCAGTTTTATTTATCTGATGACCCATAGTGAACTACTAGATGGTTCTGCAAAAAATAATTAAATATCAGTGATATGATCATTCTGTTGACTTTTTTATTAAACTTTAACTGAAAAGGTGGGAGCAGATGTGCAGTATTTGTATATTTTTTTAGTTGTTTGTTTGGGTTTTTTTAAATGCAAATTCTAAAGAAGTAATTGAGTGGACTGTACTGCCTATTTCCCCTTCACTGCTTCAGCTCATGAAATGCGAAATGCACTTACACCAAACAACTAGTTTAAAAGTATAGGCAAGGGAGGGTGAGATGAAGATTAAGCTTGCAGTCTCATGGCTGAATAAGAAAAGAATTACTTCAGAATACTGAAATCTAATAAAAAAACCCCCCAACATCTGATCTTCCATGATCCATAATCTCTGCTGCTGAACAGCTTTTATGGGGCTTGCTTTGTCTTTAACTGCAACTGAATAGAACTAGAGCAGAGCCTAAAATCCAGGATAAAAATCTGGCAGTGATTTACATGGAATTAAAGTGTTTTGACTTCTTAAGTTTAGTTTAATGATGTCCTTAAATAAATAATAAAAAAAATCTTACTCTAAGATCCTACTGTGGCATTTACCATGCCTTTGCACCCAAGTGTGATAAGCATATAATATATTTGATCAAAGTATTACATTGCAGGTAAACATAGAAAACATGTTAACACAATGTATATATAACACTAGGCTAATAACAGTCTTTAAATTAATATCTTTCTGAACCCAGTCACTTCAGCAAGCTGCTTAATATCAAATTCAAGCATATACAATTGGTTTTAATTTGTTTATGCTTCTGCTTCATTTGTCCTTTAAAAATAGACACTAATGTAGCTGTAGACTAATGAGCAGTGCATTAATATTTTTTAATTTGCTTCAGGAATCTCTGTTTCTGGGACCAAAAAAAAAAAAAAAAAAAGAGCCTGGAGTCTTTGTTTCTACAAGTTCTGTATTGCTTTACATTGTATGCTTTGAGGAGTAAATAAACCAGCACACCAAGATGTTATGGCTCCTTTTTTCCATTTAGTCACTTGTTGACATTGCTTTTGTAAGCTGTCTTGCTGCCTTCCCTTCTGAACAAGCAAATAATTGCACATCAGTAAATGCAGCAGTGTGTAACTTCAGAAATTACAGAAACAGCTGAGTGATTCCCACACTTGTGAATTTTTCATGCATCGTGATTCACTTTGCTGGAAACAGAACACGCAGATTCCCAGCAAGTTATTACCATGATCTGAACATACAACCCAGCTCAAATAATTTGAAATTATTAAAAAGATGTCTGTAAACATGCTTAAGTTCAACTGTATGCTTCAAGTCCTTGTTAAAAGCTGTTTAAGAGCAACTATAAGTGAAGTAGCAGTTTCAAACAGAAACAATTAAAAGATTTGGAAATTAATCTCTAAACCAACGCTACTTACTCTGGTTAAAGTTCTATTAATCTGTTCAGTTACACAGTCTTTGAAAAACTCACACTTGGCCTTTGGATTTTCTGTGGAAATAAAAGGAAACTAATTATACATTGCAGTCCATGCAATATTCAATATAATCTAATTGTGAAAGCACTTGTCTAGGCCATTCCCCAAACCACCAGCATTCTGAATTTATGCACGTAAGACACAGCACTCCATTCTCAAACTTCAATTACAAGGAGTTTATCTTGGCCTGGATTGGACTGTCCCCTTCCATGGGACTTAGGTGGAGTTAAGAGCCAGCTCAAATTTGCAGAAAGGGATACAGATCTGACAACTGTGAGGAGGTAACTGTTATTTCAAATGGGTTTCATTACCCTGTTTAGCAAAAATACATTTACAAAATTATTCTATTCTCAGGAATTGTAGGTGCCACCGCCTTGCCTCTTTTTCATGTCTTGCTGATTAATCTAACTGAAGATAAATAGGCACTGGTGGGTTTCTCAGAAGATGTATCTCTATAATAACACATAAACCTTTATAATATCATGTACCTTGGCAGGAAGTGCCATCATTTGGCTTAAACTGCAATTTTCCTGTGGATGGTTGATAACCTTCCTTACAGGAGCAGCTAAACCCTCCATCCACGTTTTCACATTTTGCATGATCTCCACAGGCAACAGTTCCTTCATTGCTGCACTCATCTACATCTGCAAATATCGTGAGAAATTGAATTTTTTATTAAACATTTACAGACTAACACCTTGCGCCTTTGTTGATAATAGCACCACACACTACAAGTAGTGTCATAATAAAATTTCATGTAATAAAAAAAGCAAAACTAAAAACCTGCTATTAATGGTAAACCCCCCTGCCAATTATAATACTTACAGATTAGAAGGATAAATCATAATTGATCACATTTTTATACCCCCACTTTTATTACCATATAATACTACATTGCTCATGTTTCAAAACCATATTAATTCTATCATAAAAAATAGTTGGCATGATGCAAATCATCTGAAATCCATTTTTCAGAGATTAGACCAAATAGATTTTCTCAGCTTTGTGATTCAGTTAGGAAAAGAAAAAAAAAAACAAACCTAAACCTGCAGACTTTTCTTTCAAGTTGCAGCTTTGAAAAGATGCTGCAAAAGATCACTCTGTCTCATTAATCTAAGAATTAAACTCTGTGCCCTTTAAAGTGCTTGGCATGTCTCTTTTTTTTTTTTTTTTTTTTTAATCCTTGTTTAAATTACATTTGCCTAAAGTGTATTTTGTGCTTCTAAATAGTTTGCTATTAGGCAGACAGGTTCATTAACTGGGTGGGGCACAGTCCAAGAGTAAAACCAGTGAATTCCAGGAAGGCAATCCATGAACTGATCAATTTAAGGGAGCTGGGTACTAACTCCCTGGCTGGAATACAGATTATTTTGCATTATTTGGTTGGCTGAGGATAAAGATCAAATAACTCAATGGAGAAAGTAAACTGGGAACAATACCAAATAATTCTGAAGAATGAAGTAATGGACTGTGAAGTGCTGTGCTGGAAAGGAGAAAAAAGTGAACAGCTTTGGGAAACGTATGTGTGATGAAAAGAGTTGAAAAATGAAGAAGTGCTACATGAGCAGGTTTAAAGGAACAGCCTGAGGACTGAACTGAAGGAAAGTAAAGGTAGTGTGGGGGTGGATTAACCAGGGAGGACGACACCCCAAGTTAAGAACTGGTACGACACTAAATTTCGGGAAGAAATTGGTGAAAAAAGGAGAAGTGATTAATTGATCAGTGGAGGAGAAGAGCTGCCTGAATCGACAGGAAGCCTCTGCACTGCCAGGTGGGTGTTAAAGACAGACAGACAGACAGAAAGCAGATAGGGGGTGGCTGGAAAGGCACCTTTAGGGGACAGGAACAAGTTTCACACTCTGTTTTTGATACAGGAATCTCGGTGGTTTCCAAAAAGCAGTAGAACAAAAAGGAGCAATAAAGCTTGTGAAATTAGAATACTATTGAAAAACGAACTGTGTGTCTATGAGTATATCTAGGGAATGCAAAAAAAATACCTGAAGGACATGTGGGGGACATCTGCCTGTTTGGACAGCATTATTTGGAACTTTGGGGAACATTCTTGACTAATGGCTGTGTGGTTGGTTTGTTTGGGTTTGTTTTAGGGTTTTGTTTGTTTGATTGATACAGGGCAACAGTAAAATGACTATAAACTTTCCACAGAGTATCCCAACACTCCTTTTGCAAATAATTTGAGAGCTCTTCCAGGGATTCAAGGCGACGGTTGAGGTCCCACCTCACTTTCATGTATCTGTGTTTCTCAGTGAGCTGTGGGCTCTGATTTACACCTGATATGCTTTAAGCCTGAGGTGCAGAAGCTGTCATGGTCTGAATGGATCGGTGCCAGCAAGGAATTTTAAGGTATGAGGTTAAATTACGATTATTTGCATCAGGGCAATAGTTTGTTTCCATATTTAATGCCCCAAACTGCAAATGTTTCTCTTCAAACAGCTGAGTTTTGCATTATCCACATTTGTATGGTTTTTTTGTGACCTCAGTATTCACAGTCATGGAACTAACCCCATTATACATGAACCAATCTGGCAAAAGGGAAGGACAAAAAAGCATGACACAGTGCTACACACAGGATAAATCATAATTAAATGCTGTCATTTAAAGACACGAGGCTAAAGTTCTTACTCTTGGTATTTAAATAACCTCTCACATCAGTACATTATAAAGCTCTGTCTGAAACAAGTGGGTGCCTCTCTGTTCCTTGTTGTGTGTGCAAGACAGAGGAACCTGGAATGAATTGAAGTGGCAAAGGTGACAGTCACCACAATGCCAGTTTGCATAACACCTACATCTTAAGGATGCCTTCAGCACGTAATGCAGTGGTAAAACACCAGCAATTCACAACAATCTCTGCTAAAACTCACAATCCCTTAAAAATAAATAAATAAATAAATATTTCAATTCTTTTCAGAGTACCATTGCTAAACATCAGGTTTCTACGGGATTTTACTGATGTAAACGTTTCAAAATCACAACGATATTTTGCTTTTCATAAACCCTCAGTTCAGTAAAAAACTTACTTGTCAGTATTGGGCAGTCACATGAATTACAATTTTTTTTTGAAATTATGTCACACATTAAGTGTAATGGAGATTTTAGAGAGAGAAGTCAAGATTATCCAAAACAACAGCAGAAACTCAAGCACCATGGCACATCTCCGGCAGTGGGACAGATATTTAAAGTCTGATAGAGTCACCCTGTTGAATACATGCAAAGAGCCTTCCTGCAGCTGAGTTGCCCGTATGGAATGAGTCCATATCTATCACGCCTATCTAATTTACTGTTTCCAAGAGAAAAAAAAACAACTCCTGGATGACAAAATTAAAAGGCAACACGCCTGATCTTGCAAGGTACTAATCAGCTTTGTATCCCTTTGGAATCAGTGAGATCGTCAGGGGCAGCCAACAACTCCTGACAGCTACAGGAATGCAGCTTTTAAAATCCTGCTTGGAAATGCTGTGTGCAGTAGCTGGAGGCTTTTGTTTCTTTGTATGGTGTAGTTATGCCTTTTTAACCAAAATCTGCAATTGGACCACACGCAGACAACAGCTTGTCAGTGCTTTCAGCAATCCAGTTTTAGTGGAGCTTTGGGGAGAGGATCTCAAATGGTCCTCCTTGATCTGCTGGGGGAGCAGGAGTGGGGCTGCCAAGGCTTGCCTGAGCAGTCTTCACAGGCAGCATCCCTGAGCAAAGGTTGGGGACCAGCAGCTTTTTAAACAGAAGAGCATTTGCCACAGTGCTGTAAAAAAAAAAAAAAAAAGCCCTGGCCTTTCAGTAAATATTCAAAACAAACCCTGGAGCTGAACTTTGAAGCTTTTATAACAGCTCCAATCAGAAAAATATTATCACCAGCACCACTTAGGCCGGTGTGAAAATAGATTTATAGCCCTTTATTTTATTTCTGTGCTTTGTCACTCCTCATTTACTGCAGCAGGCAAGGAAATTCCAATTAAATTAAAAGTACTGAGAACAGTTATTATGTTCAGTCGTGCCAATTATGGGATTGTACCTACATGGCTTTGATTCTCCACCAGTCAGTCAAGACAGCTTGATGTCTACATTATACCTTCCTGCTTATTAGTAGCTTGCAAGTGATTGAAAAGTCCAGTTGCAAAGCACTAGATGTTCCCTCCCCGTGTCTCCACGCTGTGGAAGGCACAAAGTAGAAATGAAAAAGGCTGTGAATGGCAGAGCTGAAAGAAAAAAGCAGCAGTTGTGGCACAGTGCCAGATCCCATCCACTGCACCGCTCCCCTGTCACAGCAAAGGATGGGATGGAGAAGGGGTGCCTTCCCAGTGCTCTCAGAAACACCTGAAGAAAACTAATAGCACGCTCCCAGAAAAGGGAGAGAGTGGCGTGGGTGGCGCTTTCGTTTCACAGAGGGTCATTTTCATGTTTTCACTCTGTTGGCTGGGGTGAAAAAAAGTGGGTTTGTATTTCACTTTTTTTATCTGCAGCTGAACATTCAATAAAATGTGAAGTCTAAGGGAAAGCATGGCTTTTACACAAAGCAAAAAGGTAGATTTTAATAGCTCACTTTCATGAAAGCAGAAAAATATCATCTTCAGAAACACCACATCTCTACATTCTTACTTTCTTCTTCTCCATTTCCTTTCTTCTATTTTCCTCCCCTTGCCCTCCTACCTTCCAGTCCCTCCTCTAGCTGCATGTTTCTTTGTCATCTCTTCACCGATTCTACCTGATAACATGGATGAAAAACTGTCGACCCTCAACTCAAAACTCAGCATTCTGGTTGGATTAAGGGTGAAGTGACACTTCTCCCAAGCTTTCTTTCGATCTGCTGCTTTGAGAGTTCTAATCACTTTTATACTTTGTAGTTTCCAGAGAGGGAGAGGAACCAAAGAGGTGTATTTGGATGGGCTTTGAAAGGGACTCTCACAGACACGGTGATGTACCAGACTTGCACTGCTGGGAAGTCCAGACAGCTTTGATGGCATAAACAAACAGGCTGCAAAATGGCACACTCGCCAAAATTCAACCACTGTATCTTTAAAGTCACTGCCAGGTACATTTATATATTCATTTAAAGCAAGATTTAAGACTTCAAAGAATCTGGAAATATATGGGGCCCTAGAAACTTGGGTAGGATGCCTGCCTGGGAGCTGTGTTCTGTGGTTTGTACTGGATAGCTTGCACTGTATTTACAATGACAGCTTTGGTGTTTGCATCAGCTGTGTGTGGTACACCCTGAATACACAACTGTCAGCTGTTTGTGTGCAGGGCATAGCTACTACCTGTAGCTGGCCCATTGGGTACAAAATACCCTATTATTGTTTCCCTGATGGATAAAGTAGGAAATTAATTGTGGATCAAAAGGTTGTTTTTAGGACTCACGTCTTGGTGAAGTAATTGGTACACTTGTTTAATCAGAAAAGGTGCCCACAGGTTATTTTTTTTTATTTCAGTGTGAGTTTGGAAGCTCCTCCATTGTCAGAAGGAAGAACAAAAGTGCTAAACTAAACCCTAGCAGAGGATAAAAAAAAGATCAATGTACCTGGTAAAGAAAAGAGGCAGAAAAAAAGGAACTATCACATTAATGGCAAAAATTAAAAAAACCCCAAACCAGTAAAAACTGTAAAAACAGTCAGAGAAATAACTTTGAGGGCAAACTACTGAAGCTGAGGAAAGGCTGTAACACAAAAATCCAAACCTGGACCAGAAATGGTGAGAATATTTACAGCTCAAGGTGCTAACAGTCTCCATCCCAGCTAATTTAAGAAGGATTCATAGCAGCTGGATAAAGCAGAGCACTTTTAGATGGATGTGAGCAATGGGCAAGAAAGGTCGATTAGATCACTTTCTGGCTTAATATGCAACCATTCTGCTGATATTAAGAGCAGTAAGAAGAGGGGTTGTCAGCACTCACAAGCTCACAGGAGACATACCTAGAATGAGACACAGTCAGCACAAAGGTGGAAAGGGCAATAGATTTATTTCTCATTCTCTCATTCCCTGAGGACTCTTGCAACATACAGAGAAAATTACCAGGAGTTTGAGAAAAGAGAAATAGTTACAGTTCTTCCATTCAAAGGAAATCCTAAAGGATTGCAGAGCTGTTCAGAAATAACATTTTTCCAGAGAACTTTTTCCTCCTCTTTAGTGTTGAACCTGTTCCATCCAACGCTACAGAAAGAGAGGCTGATGATGGCACAGGGGACAGGATAACTACTGATCTTGCTCATTGCTTTTGATCAGACTTGAAAAATTACCTAAAATATCCCAATCAAAGTTTCCAGACAAAAGATATTTCAAATATAGTAGGTCAAATGTATAGAGAATTTTGTTGGTCCGGGGTGACCCGAATGCAGAATATTTTGTCACTCTGCTTTGTTCTGAGAATGTGATCAGCTAGCTCACAGATGAGTGGAACAGTGGCATAAATGGGTGAATTGGGGATTTTTTGTATTGCCTTAACTTTATATTCATTGTCTAAAGCTGTGACATGTGGATTTAAATATATTGCAAGCAGAGCCAAGATGGAAATGCTGCTGAAAGCAGTGGTAGCTGCTGTGCTGTCAGTGAGAAGTGTGGGCCTGAACTGGAATATTAAGTCTGTACCAGTGCAAATTACAGGAACTTTACACCCAGACTCCAAACTTCCCAAATACGAAAGCATTTTGCTCGATTTCTATAATTAACAGAGGCAATGAGAGAAGAGTGGCAATGCAAAGGTAGCTGGCAGACAGTAATAACTTACCCACGCAGGAGGTTCCATCGTTAGGTACAAAAGTTTGTTGACCATTGCTGGATCTGAAACCAGGCATGCACATGCAGAAATAACTTCCCACCGTGTTTGTGCAATTGGCATGCTCTCCACAAGGCTGAGTAGCATTTTCACACTCATTATCATCTGCCAAGACATAAATTACAGAGAAATGTATTTGCATTTGACGACCGAAGAGAGCAGCGCGCTATGAGCTTAATTTGGCTCTGGTATTTCATTTGTGTAAGTTTTAAATGCTGAGCTGGCACTCTTGGTGTTTGTCTACGTAGTTTTCCCATTGCCAAGGATGTAATCAGGTGTTCAGCAGCACTATTCCTGCGTGAATCAACAAATGAGGAAATCAGTGGGATACTGAAGCGAATGGCTTAATTGGATATCCACTTGGAATAAAGGATTGAGACAAGTACATGCTCTGCCATGGTTGTATGTGATACCACTTCCTCCTATCCAAAAATACAGAGGTAGAGAGTCACTCTGAGGACGCACCTTGGAATTTAGAATCCTAGAAAACAGAGCTCAGAAGGATATAAGGAAGCCCCCCCTTCATTCCCTAACACCAAAGCA